CAGCCCCTCCCCTACTCCCTGTCGCAACATGCAAAGCAACTGGGTATCTGTGCCATATGGGGACACAAGGTTGTCTTTGGGAGCTGGCCATGCTTTACCTTCCTCGCCTTAGGCCCAGTATTCAGCCTCCCAGGTCAGGATGTTTTGTCATTATCCTGGGTTCTCCATGGATGGACCTCATCCTGTATCTGAGGTCTTTCTGCTAGGGTGGCCCCTACCCCTCCTGGGGATAGTGAGTTCAGCCAGGTGGGGGTGGGAACTGCTGGGGGAAGCACCTGATTTCAAGGTAGCAGATGACCCATTTCTCTCCTCAAATCCAGCCCCAGTCTCATCCTCGACCTCCTATCTAGCTCTACTTCCCTTGGGCCCGGGGCCATCTTAGGCCCTGCTGTGAGTCCAGATGGTTCCTGGGCCAGGTCTTTCCCCCTCCTTGCTGGCCCAGAGCCCAAGAGGAAGCAGAAGATGGCTGGCCTAAGCCTTTTGGTGGCCCCATTCCCTTCAGCAATCCATCTAGGTCATCTTCCTGTCGATGCCAGCATCCTTGGGCTACCTTGTTTAGGGTTGTTCAATGAATAGCAGGGACTCATCACCTCAGCAGAGGTTGGTCCTAGGCCCTCAGCCCCCTGATTCACTTATTTCTGCCATAAGCACTTTTTGAGCATCTACTCTGTGTCAGTCACTATTCCAGGTCCTCAGGATATAGCCGTGACCTAAACACAGAAATCTACCCTGGCGGAGCTGATCTTCTAGTTGTGGCGGTGAGGAGATAGACAGTAAAGACTAAAGAAACAAATAAGTAGGTGGTGTCATTTCTGAGGAGGTAATGAGTGCTGGGGGGATAACTGGCAAGGTAAGGGAGCTCGGGATGGTTGAGATTTTAAATAGGGTTATTCATGGAGGCCTCATGAAAAGGTGACTTTTGAGCAATGGCCTGAAGGGAGAGGGGAGTGAGCCATTTCGAAATTTAGGAGAAGGGTGTTCCAAGGTACCAAGAACAGCCAGTGTGAAGGCCCCAAGGTGGGATTCTGCTGGGTGTGGTTGCAGAACAGCAAGTAAGAATGGTGGCGGGGCGGTTGGGGGGGGGGGGGGGGGGGCAGAGAGGTAATAGGGCCAAATGAGGTAAAGAAAGGCCTGTGGGCCACATTGAGGACTGGGGTGTGTATTTGGGGTGATGGGAAACGTAGTACATTCTTGAGTAGAGGAGAAATGTGACCTGGCTTGTAAAAGTCTAGATTGGACCCTAGGGGTCCTAACCTGATCAAACCTTTCTGGCAGCCCTGAGAACAGCTGGTATACACTGAGATCCCCCCCTCCACACAGTCCCACCCAGTGGGTGGGTCTGGGCAGGACACCCTGACACACACTCCCCACCCCACCCACCTGGGTAGATGAATGGGATGATGCAGTGGTTGTCATGACGATGAGTGCTAGAGAAGTCAGGAGGAGGGTCCCTGTGGCCACAGGGAATAATCTGTCTTGACCTTTGAGGGTGGTGCCAGGGGAACTATGCCACTCTATGGGCATGCTCGAGGCCATGTCACCCATCCTTCAATTCTGGGCACACGCCCTGGCCGACCCATGGCTGGGCCCATCACTGCAGCTGTACCTGAGAAGATCTGCTATGGAGCCTTCTGCTCCTGCAGTGGGGCTTTTCCCCTAGAGGCCAACAATCCATCATTTGGGCCCTTGCCTTCAATCAGCCACCTAAATCTGAGAACTCAGGTGGGCTACTTAGGAGCAGGGTCCCGGTGGAGCTGGCTCTGTGGGTGGGCAGGTACTTACAAAGATCCCCGTCCATGTTGGGTTTCCAGAAATCCTGAGTGGCTCTGGGGTCCATATTGGTTGAGTGAGCACTGACAAGTCCATGTCAGTGCCCCCTGCTAGACTATGGGCTTTAGGGGACCCATGGTGATCAAGCAAATGCTAATATGAGACCCATTTCCATCCTTGTCCCTTGCTCAGATCGCCATGGATCGGATGAAGAAGATCAAACGGCAGCTGTCAATGACACTCCGAGGTGGCCGAGGCATAGACAAGACCAATGGTGCCCCTGAGCAGATAGGCCTGGATGAGAGTGGTGGTGGTGGCGGCAGTGACCCTGGAGAGGCCCCCACACGTGCTGCTCCTGGGGAACTTCGTTCTGCACGGGGCCCACTCAGCTCTGCACCAGGTGGGTCCACTGGCTACCCCCTCTCCCATATGACCCTAGGCTGCTTCCCAGGTGTTGCCTCGTTGCCACATTCCTCATTTTCCTCTCAATTTTCTGCCCTTTCTCTGCCCCCCATGTGCTCTCTTCTCCACCTTCCTTCCCATCTTCTCTCAACACCCTCGATCTATCTGTCCATCTGCGCTCCTCTCCTTGCCTTTCTGCCCAGGCCCCGTTGTAGGGGGGCAGAGGGTGCCTTGCCTGTCACAGTTGCCCCAAGGCTCCCTCTGCCCTTCTGCCCTCTGTGATGGCCTCCTCAGGCCTCTGGTACCTGCCTGCCCTGGGCCTGCCTTCCCAGGACCCTTGGCTTCCCCTGCCACCACCTAGCTACCAGCTCTGAGCTCAGCTTTCCCTTGGAAGGAAAGGTTCCACCAGGTGACTTTTGCCTCCCCACCCCCCAGTTCAACCTGTCCTAGATGGACCTGAGCTTCCCTGGGCCCTATCACCCTCTCCCCGAGGGACTCCAGGTTTCCTCTGGGGGCCATGTGCACACATGTGTGATGATGGAATATGTCTCATGGGGGAGGGGGTGTCCTGTGGTTTCTGACCCCACCTGGCCTGCCCTACCCCTCTCCCTGCCACCAGAGATTGTGCACGAGGACTTGAAGATGGGGTCTGATGGGGAGAGTGACCAGGCTTCAGCCACTTCCTCGGATGAGGTGCAGTCTCCAGTGAGAGTGCGCATGCGCAACCATCCCCCACGCAAGATCTCCACTGAGGTGCTTGACCCAGTCTGGATGGTGGAGGAGCTGGAAAAGGGGGTTGGACCTGGGGAGGTGGAACTCATGATCCTGTTTCTCTCTCGCCTTACCTGCTAGGACATCAACAAGCGCCTATCGCTACCAGCTGACATCCGGCTGCCTGAGGGCTACCTGGAGAAGCTGACCCTCAATAGCCCCATCTTTGACAAGCCCCTCAGCCGCCGCCTCCGTCGTGTCAGCCTAGTAAGCACCTTGTGTTCCTGTCCTCTCCTTTTTCTCCTCCTCTCCCAGACCCTTCTGAACTTGCTTCAACCTGCCTCATTTGTCCCACAGTCTGAGATTGGCTTTGGGAAACTGGAGACCTACATTAAGCTGGACAAGCTGGGCGAGGTGAGAGGCAGCTAGGAGGCCCATGGTGGGGATGAAGGTCAGTGGGAACTCCTGGAATCTCATAGCACCTCTCCTGTCACACTTCCTCACATTCCAGGGTACCTATGCCACCGTCTACAAAGGCAAAAGCAAGCTCACAGACAACCTTGTGGCACTCAAGGAGATCAGACTGGAACATGAAGAGGGGGCACCCTGCACCGCCATCCGGGAAGGTACACACCCCCATCCCATCTACCCCAGGCTTCCCCAACTCACCCCTGGTGCACACACTCCATAATGAGAACAAAGACTGGTTCTGGAACCCCCTGCAAAACACTCTGGCTTTCATGGGAATGCCTGTCACCCACATATCCAGGTAATAATCAGGGTAACCAGGAATCTGTTCCCATTTGGATAAAAGGTGGATGAATTGCAAACCAGGGTTTGGTTCCGAGAACACCCCTGAAAGTGCTCACCAATTTATTTACTGTAACAATTTCTAGTCAGAATATCACATGGAATGAATTTGAATTGCACTGAAATTGAGTGTGCAAATTCGATTTCACATGATGCTGCAGGCCTGTGTACTGAGGGTTGGAGCCAGGCCCCTTCCCAGAAACCAAAAACAGGTTGTGAAAATCTAGTGTCACATGAGCCTGGGGCTGCAATCCCAGGTTCTTGCTCCATACTCCCCTCTGAGTCTTGTTTTCCACATCTGCAACATGGAGACACAACTTGCATGGGGTGGGTTAGAGCTGGTGGCTCCGAGGCATTACCCTGAACTGTCTGGAGAAAGAAAGAAAGAAAACCTGGGCTTGTCCCTTTCTAGTCCTTGTCCTCACCTCTGTCCTGAGGGTAGGACCCTGACTCTTCCCGTCCCACTCCCATGCTTCCTGCAGTGTCCCTGCTCAAGGACCTCAAACATGCCAACATCGTTACGCTACATGACATTATCCACACGGAGAAGTCCCTCACCCTTGTCTTTGAGTACCTGGTAAGGTTGGGTGGCACTGGGTCCCGGGGGGAGGTGGGGAGAAGGCCAGGAGCCGTAGGAAGTAACCCTCATTCCTGTACCACCTCTTCTTTCCTCAGGACAAGGACCTGAAGCAGTACCTGGATGACTGTGGGAACATCATCAACATGCACAACGTGAAAGTGGGTGTGGGGCAGGAAGCAGGGGCACAAGGGGGCCCCCACTCACCCACTCCAACCCACAAATCTCCCAGAAATGGACTTTTCCCTTTGGCTTTTTTTGCTAGGAGCCCTTGGAGGGCACTGGGACCCTGTCCTCTATTGTGTGACAAGGCTCTGGGCCTGGTGTCTGTGTTTGGGAGGGGAGCAGTGCCTGCTGGGGGTCGGGCTAGTGGATAGTCTTTGATCTCTGCCTGCCATTCCTGGGTCCCCAGCTGTTCCTGTTCCAGCTGCTCCGTGGCCTGGCCTACTGCCACCGGCAGAAGGTGCTACACCGAGACCTCAAGCCCCAGAACCTGCTCATCAACGAGAGAGGAGAGCTCAAGCTGGCTGACTTTGGTACCACTGGCCTCCCCCTTCTTCTCATTGGCTCACCAGCCTCCTACTTTCCCATGACCACTTAGTCTCACTTCCCTTCAGCCTTCCCAGATTTTGCCTAGGACACCCTCAGTCTCAACTGCACTCTCCCCCAGACTTTGCCCATGACCCCCTCACTCTAGCTGTCCTTTGTCTGATTTCCAGGCCTGGCCCGGGCCAAGTCAATCCCAACAAAGACATACTCCAATGAGGTGGTGACACTGTGGTACCGGCCCCCTGACATCCTGCTCGGGTCCACGGACTACTCCACTCAGATTGACATGTGGTAAGGACAGGTGGAAGTGTGGCAGGGGCCACGTGGTAAAGGGGGTGGCTTGGTCACAACAGCCACCCAGTCAGCTGCCTCTCTATTCACTGTGCCCTCCCTGCCCAGGGGTGTGGGCTGCATCTTCTATGAGATGGCCACAGGCCGGCCCCTCTTCCCGGGCTCCACGGTGGAGGAACAGCTACACTTCATCTTCCGCATCTTAGGTGAGGAGGCATGGGCCCTAGACGCTGTGGAGACACAGAGAGGACCTGTGAGATGTTTGGGATAACTCCTCTTCCCTACTAGGAACCCCAACTGAGGAGACGTGGCCAGGCATCCTCTCCAATGAGGAGTTCAAGACATACAACTACCCCAAGTACCGAGCCGAGGCCCTTTTGAGCCACGCACCCCGGTGAGGCTGGTGGGTGGGTGGACGTTAGGGGCCAGAGTGTCCAAACTCATTTTAAAGCAGGTCTCTTTGTCCTTGTGGCAGACTTGATAGCGACGGGGCCGACCTCCTCACCAAGCTGTTGCAGGTGAGACCACCTTGGGTCAGCCTTGGGGGTATGGGATTCCAGGTGTGGGGAAACAGGGACCCCCACCCCAAACCAGGGGCAGGGTCTGAGGTGGGCAGAGAGACCTACTCGTTGAAGATAATCAATACTATCCCCTTCCCCCCACCCCCACTCAGTTTGAGGGTCGAAATCGGATCTCCGCAGAAGATGCCATGAAACATCCATTCTTCCTCAGTTTGGGGGAGCGGATCCACAAACTTCCTGACAGTGAGTGGAGCTGGGGAATGGACCAGCCAGTGTGGGGACTGGGAAGCAGAACTGCTGGGGCCAGCTGGCGGGTTGTGTAGGATTCTGGCTATGCTACTCTAAGTGGGGGGACATCTTGTTCACAGGTGTGATGGGTTGTATTTGTTATGAAAACATTTTTTAGTTTTCAGTTCCTTTTACCTTTCATGAAAAATTTAAAACATACATAAAAATATATGCAATAGCATTTTACCTTTTTTAAAGTAGACATTTCCTTACATGCGCTAAAAAATGCACACATCATAAGTATACTATACAATGAATTTTCATAAATGAAACGTATCCTTGTAACTAGCACAAAAGTCAAGAAACAGAATGTTAAAAGCTCCCCACCCCCAGCTCCCTTGCATCTCCTTCAGTTATTCCCAGCCCCTCCCCAAAGAGTGACCACTGTTTTGACCTCTAACAGCAAGGATAAGTTTTTTTCTGTCCTTGTACTTTATAGAAATAGAATCACATGTGATGTTCTCTTTTTCTATCTGGCTTTTAAAAACTTTTTAATATGGATATTTTCAAATATATTTATATATTAGTCAAAATAATATGATGAGTCCCTAAGTACTCCAATAAATCATCAATCCGTGGTCAATCTGGTTTTATCTATATTCTCTCTGATTATTTTGAATCACATCCAATCTCAGACATCATAGCATTCATCCCTAAATAATTTCAGCATATACCTATAAAAGATTTTTTTAAAAACAACATTATTATCAAACCTACAAAAAACATTTGCTCACTTTCCCTATCTCCCCACTAGATTAATACATAAAGCAAACCCCAAACACCACCCATCACCTAGACTTAACCGGTGGTAACGGCAATACCATAATCCACTTGACAAAATTAATAATGATTTCTTTGTGTCATGTAATAGTCCATATTTTATCTTCCCTGGTTGTAGCTTGTTTGTATATGGAATTGTTTGACAGATGAAGGTCAAGCCTCTCAGAGAAGGCAGCGTTTTCTAATTCTTCCAGTGGGGTCATATGGGGCTGGTCCTGAATGGCCTCATGGGTCATCCCCTACTTCTATGTCTCCCCCATCTGTAGCTACTTCCATATTTGCACTAAAGGAGATTCAGCTACAAAAGGAGGCCAGCCTTCGGTCTTCATCGATGCCTGACTCAGGTAGGTACAGCCCCTTGTCTTCCTCCCCACCCCACCCACCTACCTGCTTACCCACCAACAGCCATCTGCTCTGCTTTCCCCCACAGGCAGGCCAGCTTTCCGCGTGGTGGACACCGAATTCTAGCCACAGACCGAGGCCCCAGCAGGCAGTGGCTGGAGGGATGCCACACCCCTCACAGGGCAGCCCCCAACTACATCTTCCCTGCTTACTCTGCCTACCTGCCTGAGCCATGTTCACCTGCCCACTTGTCCCTTGCTGCCTGTCCAAACACCCAACCATTGGCCTGTCAACCCACCCATTGGCCTGTCTGCTGGGTGCTAACAAAGCTCTCATCACTCCTTCACTTGGTCTGTCTGTCTGTCTGTCTCTATCTTGGTAGTTGCCGGTGGACAGCATGGCCGTGCCAGCCTCCCACACTGAGGCCAGGCCTACCCCTCATCATACCATCCCCCAGGACCACTACCCCACGGCCAGCCAGGGGTCCAGAGCTAGCTCAGGCTGGGGATCTCGACTCAGACAAGATGGTGACAATGCCTTGAGTCTGAGGCATCCCCTGCCTGCTTTCCTGCCTGCCCCACCTGCCTCATATTGTGTGGGCCTTTTTTTGTTTGTTTCATTCATTGTTTTTTTTTAATTATTTTAAATGAGGTTTTCATTTTTTTAAATGCAATATCTCTGTATACAGATTGGCTGGGCCCCACCCCCTGCGTGTGGCCCTCCCACAGTATTTTGTGCAATGAAGCCCTGCTCCCAGCCTTTCAGAGACAGGGACACAGCCCCTATTTGGAACCCTGATCATCACCAGACCCTGGGATCAGCTATGGGAAAGCATGCCACGGCTACTCGCCTTCCTACCCCCGCCTGCCATCCTTAGCTACAGGAGAATCTGGGGACTACCAGAGACTCTGGGAAATGGACAAGGTGGGGGGCCCCACTCTTTCTCTCCTGCAGTCCCATAGCTGGGGCCTCCTTCCTTCTCAGGGTCTCCCCAGCTCAGCCCTCTTGCTCCCATCCCACTCGGTGCTGTTGGGTAGGGGCCCTGCCAGGAACTGACCAGCTCAGCAAGGAGCCATAGTGTGCATATGTGCACAAGCAGGGTTGGGGGAGGGGGTTGTGAGGGGTTGTGCCCAGGTGTTGCCCCCTATCTCCTGGGGAGGGTGAGCAGGGCAGGGACAGTCTCCAGGGTCAGTCCCTGGATGGGTGGTTACCTCCCCTTCCTCCACCCTAAGCCCTGGGGCCCTGAAATGGGGTGGGAGGGCAGGGGTGGGAGCCCTCCTAGTGGGTTTGGGGGGTTGGGTTCCTGAATGCACCATAATCGCTGTATGAAATATTAAAAAGTCTAAAGTGAAAAGCCTGCTTGCAAATCCCTGTAGGGGTGGAGGGTGGCCAAGCTGGGGTGATTACTGGGACCTTGGAGAATTCATACCTGATCACCACTGTCTAGGAAAACACTGGGAGTGGACCAGGGACACGTCACAACTATGAAAAAGGCATCTAAGGTATTGCACATGTAACAGTAGAACATGGAGTTGAAGCAGGTAGGGCAGGCTGAATGGTGTTGATGGGCTGAGAAGCAGAAAGGGGAGTTAGATTTGCCCAGGAATGTGAGAAAGCCTGATAAGAGGGTGGAGACAGGGGAGTGGAGAGATGATGTTTGAAAGACACTGGAAGGCCCAACAGAACCATGGATGGGAAGATGAGGCAAAGGCCCTGTATGACCACTACAGCATCTGACTAGGAAACCATGAAGAGGAGGGAATCTTGACGGTAAAGGGTAGATTGTGGACCACTGAGTAGGTAGAGAAATCCTTAACCTGGAAATTTCAATTATTAGTGTCCAGGAAGTAATAGAAACCATGGGCATGGGTGAGAGAGTTTGCAAGAGGCCGGGGATCAATGACACAACCTGGGATTTGCTCTCAGGTATGAGGATAGTTGAGACTTTTATTTCCTTTGTCCTGTGAGTTCCAGCCCCAGTCCCACCATCTTAGGCAAAGCCAAGGATTGTTTTGCAAGCAGAAGAGGTGGGGTGAGCAGGGCCAGGCAAATACTGCAAGTAATGGCAAGCCTAATTAAGTGGCCGTTTACTAAAGCCCAGTGGTGGGGGCCCATGGACTTCTAATCACTCTACTGTGTTTTGTTTGTTTTTTGAGATAGTCTCTGTCGCCCAGGCTGGAATGTAGTGGCACAATCTCGGCACACTGCAACCTTTGCCTCCTGGGTTCAAGCTGTTCTGCTTCAGCCTCTGAGTAGCTGGGATTACAGGCATGCGCCACCACACCCAGCTAATTTTTGTATTTTTAGTAAAGATGGGGTTTTACCATATTGACCAGGTTGGTCTCAAACTCCTGACCTCAAGTGATCCACCCCCCTCGGCCTCCCAAAGTGCTGGGATTACAGGCTTGAGCCACCAAGCCCAGCCTCTACTGTGTCTTTGTAAGCACTTTAGTGATGTTTCAGCTTGCAGCCTCATGGTGCCATGATGACTGCCATGTCCCCAGAGGTGGAAAAGCAAGCAGGGAAAACAAAACACCTTCCTTACCTGCCTGTTTTCTTTTAACGGCTGGAACTTCCACAAGCTCCTCAGCAGACTTCCGGTGCCATTTCTTGGCTAGAATCAGATGACATGGCCACTTCTGGCAGCAACGGAGGATGGGAAAAGGAGGGCCTTGCAAAGGGGGACAGGATTGCCAGGGTGGATTTAAAAGGATTAGAATTCACCCAACTGCTCTGGGAAGTGGTAGGGTCACTGGTGTGGGCAGAGGTTGGCCTCTGGAAGGTGAAAAAACGGTCTAGGGCTGGACGTCTCTTGGATTTACCTGGCTGCCCAGATAAATGGGGAGGGGGAGTCTGCAGAGGGGTAATGGGGAGAATCAATTCAGAGAATCTGACAAGATTCAACTGGGCTTAAAGAGCAGCTATCTGCCATGTGTCTGACTCAACTTAAATGCCACTTTCTTTGGGGACCCTTAAGTGAAAGCGCTGCTCCCTTACCTCACCCAGCGCTTACAAAACTGACCCTTCATCTATGCCAGGTCTGGGCTGGGGGCTGGAATCAGAGTAATAAAGACACAATCCCTGCCCCGCAGAGGTTAACTGAAAATAGGTAAATTACGAGATTGTGAGGGGGAAGGGAGGTTCGAAATTAAAGTCATCACCAACAGGGCTGGCAGCCCTGGCAGAGAAAAGAATAGCATAGCCTAGTGCAGTGGTTCTCAACCAGAGACATTTTTCCCCCAAAGGACATTTGGTAATGTCAGGAAACACTTGGTTGTCCTGAGGGGTACTACTTGGTATCTAGTAGGTAGAGGCCAGGGATGCTGCTACACATCCTGCAGTGCCCACAACAAAGAAATGACAGTGCTGAGGTTGAGAGACCCTGGCCTAGTGCAAGGCTTCTCAAACTCTGGGCCTCGGGATTCCTTTATGTTCTTAAAAGTTTAAGACATTCAAAAGAGTTCTTGTTTATGTCATATAGCCTCTGGATTCAGAAGCCTCTAGATAATTACACTGTACACCCCTGAGAGAATGAGAGTGAAAAAGTATTGTGAAAATAGTTTTCATTTTGTGAACCCCCAAGAGGAGTTTTGGACCGGTAGACAGGCTGGGACCACACGGTTGGAGAATGTTTGACCTGGTGTTTAAGGTCACAGCTCTGGAACGAGATTTCTCAAGTTTAAACTGCAGCTCCACCACTTATTAGCTGAGAGACATTTCTGGTACTCAGCGTCCAGTTATTAGCCATGGGTGATAAGGACAGTACCTGCTGCCTGAGGCTACTATTTTAGTCCAACAAAGCACTTAAACTGGGCGGACAGCTAGTTTAGTTATGATTGCTATGACTCCAACAAACATAGGGCCTGGGGCTAACTTGCCTTCAACACCATGTCTAGTGAATAAATCTAGTTCAGGAAGAGAAACAATGACCCACAGGCCTAGGTGGGTCTCTGGAGGTGGAAACCCCTTTTGCATTGGGTTTTGATGGTTAAGGGTAGTACAATGAAGGGCATTCTGATCAGGCTAACAAACGCTGCTCCCAGGGTAGGAGTCCTCGCCCACCTCGGGAACCTCAGTCTCCACTTTCCATGCCACCTGTGCCCTAACTCTACAGGGCGTTGGAACCCCACAAGGCACTTTTGTCTTTCTTGGTTCCCACTGAAGATTTTACCCCACCTAACCCTTCGACGCGTCTGTGCGCGGGGCCATTTCCAATATGGCAGTAGCCCCGCGACTGTTTGGGGGGCTCTGCTTCCGTTTCCGGGACCAGAATCCGGAAGTGGCTGTTGAGGGGCGTCTTCCAATCTCGCACAGCTGCGTTGGCTGTAGAGGAGAACGGACAGCGATGGCGACGGTCGCAGCAAATCCAGCTGCTGCTGCGGCGGCTGTGGCGGCGGCGGTGGCAGTGGCTGAGGATAGAGAGCCACAGCGCGAGGAGCTGCCAGGCCTAGACAGCCAGTGGCGCCAGATAGAAAACGGCGAGAGTGGGCGAGAACGTCCACTGCGGGCCGGCGAAAGCTGGTGAGGCTGGGCTGCGGTGAAGCCTCGGCAGAGGGGACAGTGGGGGCATTGACAACCGCTGGGGATTCGGCGGCCGAGGGCGGCGGGAAAGCTGCTGCGGGGTGCGGGGGCGGGCGAGTGGCCGACGGGACAGCGGGCTAAAGGGGCGGGGAAGTGTCTTTGAATGAATCGCAACGTCTGGAAAAGGGGCGGGGCCTGTGTGGTGCAGTCTGACGCCTGAGAACAAAATGGGGTTTGTTGTGATGAGACCGGTTTCAGCCCTGGAGGTGGGGCCGGGCCTGCGTAGTGAAACTGCGTAGGAACCTGGGAGGAAGGTGGGTTCTGCGATGTAACCGCCTGCCTGCCTAATGCAACTTTTGGGGGCGGGGAGCGGTCTCCGATTGCTCTGGCGCGGCTGGGAACGAGGCGAGCTTTGTGACGTCAGCAGAAGAGCGGGATGGAGCCGAACGGTCCGAGGGAGGGAGCGGGGACCTGCGTGGGGGAGGAGCTTGGAGCCTGGGAACGAGGTTAGGTTGGTGACGTGAGCCGAGGGGCGTGCTCTGAGGCCGAGGGACGACAGTGGAGGGGAGGTGGTGCCCATAAGGCAGAAAATGGCGCCTGCGAATAAGCAAAGTTTATAATGCGCAGAGGTTTTTTATTCTGGCAGAAGCCTTCCCGAGTCGAGAGAACGTGCAGGTGATTAGCACGGGAGGGGCCTTCCATGTTCAATTGATTTTCTGTCTTGGTACTGTTTTGGTTTTAGAATCAAGAAAAAGTCGTTTTTTTAAAAACCGATAATTTTGATAAATCGGCTTGTTTTACTGATTTCTTGCTAAACAGTGCTTCTTGAGATTTACTGCTTCTGGGTTCATTTTGTTTCTGGCCGAGTTGCATCTGGTTTTTTAATTGTGAAATACGTAAGACCTAAGAAGATTGTATAAAACATTTACGCAGCCCAGATTGACGGACATCCTTTTAAAATAAACGGCTACACTCTTCAAAAATGTCAGGGTCGTGAAAGACAAAGGCTGAAGAACTGTTCTAAATTGAAGGAATTAATGCGATTTAACGAGTCATTATAACTAAATGCAACATGTGATCCTCGATTGGATCCTGGAACAGAAAAAAAATAAATTATTTTAAAAATCAATTTTTTATCATAAGATTATTTTTGTCTCTTTTACTGTAAAAGGCAATGGAAACATCGGTGAAATTTTATTAAAGTGGGTAGATATTAGTACTACTAATTTCTTAATTGTGATCATTGTGGCATGAAAAATAATACCCTTGTTTATAGGAAATGCTGAAAAATTTAGGGATAAGAACTCATTGTGTAAGCAGTTTATTCTCAAATGCCTGAAAAATTAGCATATATAAATTTATATATGGTGAGGGGAAAGGGGAAATTGGGGAGATGTTGGTCAAAGGATACAACATTTCAGTTAGACAAGAAGAATAAGTTCAGATCTATTGTACAACTATAGTTAATAAATTCATTGTATACCTGAAAATTGCTGAGAGATTTTACATGTTCTACCACCCCCCAGAAAATTGATAAGTATGTGACGTAATGGATGTGTTAATTGCCTTGACTTAGTCATTCCACAATGTATACATAAGTCAGAACTTCATGCTGTACACCATAAATATATACCATTTTTGTCCATTTTTAAATAAATAAAAATACCAAAAAAGAATGCATGTAAAGAAACAACGATTGAGCAAATGGGTAAAATATTAGATTTGGAGGATCTGGATGTAGGACATGTGGGAATTCTCTGTATTGTTTTTGCCATTTTTCTCAATCTATTTCAAAGTTTAAAAATTAAATAATAATTAAATAAAAACGTGTGAATTCACCATCCAGGTTAAGATTCAGAACACTGTCTTGAGAAATCCTTCTTTGCCCCTCCCAGATGGAAATTCCCCTCCTTGCTCCATGGGAAACTGTTATCCTGAATTTTGAGTTAACAGTCTCTTCCTTTTCTTTAATGTTTGACCACAACTGTATGCATCCCTAAGTAGTATGTAATGTCTAAGCTTTCACTTTATACATATATGGAATATATATATAAAATTCTACTGGATGCATACTGTGAGCCCTTCTCTTCCTATCGGGTGATACATGGTATCCACATGACATCATTGGTGATGTTAACCTTGATCACTTGGTTATGGTAGTGTTGGCCAGGTTTCTCAACTGTAAAAGTACCGTTTTCCTCTTTACATACGCAATAATTGTTTTTAAAACATGTATCATGTCCAACCATTCCTCAAAATACCCCTAACAGTTCCCATCTCTTGCAACGTAGATGCTAAAATCCTTACAATGAATTGTAAGACTTTATGAAGCTGGTCTCCAGCTTGCATTCTGATGTCTTCCCAGATCTCTCCTCTGATTACGCACTCCCTCTCTGTCTCCATCCAGGCTGACCATATTGGACTCTTGCTGTTCCTCAAACACATCTAACCTTAGGGCTTTTTCGAGTGAGGTTTACTCACTACAGAGTTCTTTAACAACCACACCAGTGAAATGCGTATCTCTGTTACTGGGGAGATGAGTTGAGATTTTCCAGATCGGGAATACAAACCCAAGCCGTGTTTTTCTGCCATTACGTCATACCTTTCCTGCAAGAAAAAGCCTCATTTCATCCTGAGAATAAACAAAATAACCACAATGTTTTATAACCCATTTGAAGATGTTCGAAAGGGCCTTGAGGCTTTGGTCCTTGCTTCTTCCTACCTTTGTGGCCTTGTGATTGTGTCACTGGTAGATAGGACATTACATCCTGTCATCCTTGACAATACCCTTTAAAATTACCCCACCAGTACTGGATTTTCTTTTGGGATGATGAAATATTTTGGAACTAGGGAGAGGTTGTGGTTATACAACTGTGAATGTTCTAAATGCCACTGAATTGTTCACTTTAAGATGGTTAATGTTATGTGAATTTCACCTCATTAAAAAAATTACCACACAAGTGTTGGTTCAGTATTGAAGCCCGTTTGTCTCTGCTGTCATGGGTATTATCATGAAGCATTTTTGCTAAACTCCACTTTGTTAATGCTTCTCTATTTAGATAAGAGCAAAGCATCTCAAGGTTCTTTATTGCTGTCCATTTTCCATTTTATAGGGGTTTGCTGAAGTGGCCAGGATGTATGTATTTATAAAGCATTTTGAAATCATGGACTAACCCCAAATCATATATCTTGTATCAGTATTAATATTTGCACCTTCTGTCTTTTGTCAGCTGTTAGATTTGGGTGAGAGTAGTTAATTAATTTGGTAATCACAACTGATTTAATTTCTGGGAGAAGCTTATATTTTAAGGCAAATTCAAATCTGTAATAATATAGCCTCCTTGGAAATTTTCACTTTTTCCTTTTGTGGGATGAACCATCTTCAAACACAAATCAGACACAAGAGAAAACTAGAAGACAGAAAGTAAAGAATTGTTTAGTAACTTTTTTCCATAAGCACATATTTCATATCATTTCAACAAATTTGAGGAAGCACAAATAAACCTAACTGACTTTAGCAAGATCAGTTGTACCTGTATATACTGGCAACAAGAAACTAGAAAATTAAATTGTATTATACCATTTATGATAGCATCTAAAAAATTGAATACCCAGCTGTAAATATAATAATTTGGGTGTTATTGTTACAGACCATGACACCTTTGTTGTGACTGCCACCTGGCCTGACAGAGATTGTGAGACATCCTGATTTCAGAGATGTTACAGTGATTTTTTTAAAGTGTCTTTGACTTGAAGCAATATGGTAATAATATTCTGTGAAAAATTATGTAAAACGTCAGTCCTCCATGAAATCTATAGAAATTCAACCTGTGGCCAGGTCTGGAAGTTTTGCTGACCACTGTACAGAGTGATTTTAATGTTAATTTTCGTTCAAAATCTGCTCTTAAAAGGAAGTTGAGCAATTCCTACCTTTGCATTGGAAGGTACTGTTAACTATAGCTTTAGTGAACAAATAAATTTCATAGACTGGCTATGGAGGCAAGTAAAGCCACAAAGGGTGGATGGTGGTGTGTGTGGTACAGGGTTGGGTTTGAGCACTGAGCCACCAGCACAGAAGAATTTGTTTCCCTGGTGTGAGTGATACGGCAGGGTCTGTGGGGGTCAGTGCAGCAAAAAAACAAACAAAACCAACAAAAAACTCACAGAAATGTTTGCCTATCCAGGTGACTTGTGACTATTCCAAGATTTGTCTGTCCCTCCATCCTCCCACCTCTCTGATCCTTTCATGAACAAGGGAAAGTTGACATTTTA